TTTTTTTTCTCCAAATAATTGAATAACTATTATATTTATGTAACATCTGTATTTGTATTATTTTTATCCAATATCGGATATTGTTAGAGCATAATTATTTGCATTTCGAGAAAATATGAAAAATATGAATAATACGAAGAAAAAAAATTGTCGATCATTATAAAGAATGGATATATCGTGAAGAAAAAAATTATTTTTATTTCTTTTTATATATATATATTTTTCGATCTAATGATAGAACGAGTGATAGTCGTAGTCGTAGTTGTTGATCGTGTTATGTGTATATGCACTTGAACCTGAACGAGATAATATAATAATAGTGTAATACCGTTACCACCAAGGCCATAATCGTGCGACAATGTGAAAGAAAATTGCCACCTCTTTGTTGGTACCCATGATAGTAATATATAATACGTCTGTGCATTTATGGTTTTGTATGGGTGTACGTGCATACGTGTAAGTAGACGTGTACGTGTACGTGTGTTTTTCAGACTCAACGTGAATGTGAATCGAGGCAAATAGCGTAAGAGGAAAAAATGATAGGCGCAGATAGATAGATAGATAGATAGATAGATGGAAAGATAAAAAGATAAATCGTGTTGTAGAACGACGGTACGAAAAAATTCAGATAATCGGTAAACCGCATGCGAACACAGTTGTTTTTTTGGCACCTTTTCATCAAAATTCATTCTATTTCGCAAGATTTTTTTGGGGGGGGGTGAGTGGGGGGGGTGTAATTTTTCAATTAAACGGAGAATTATTTTTAATTAGATCGTCCCAAAAGATTGTCCCTATTTTTTTTTGTTTTTGTCTCTTTAGTAATTTTACATAGACAATAATTTGTATTTTATTAAATAGTATACATTGTATTTAGATTTTGCAAATAGTTTGTGGATAAAAATTCTATTAAAATGTCTTTTTCTTTTATTCTTTCTTATTTCAAATCCGAATAAGAGTAGAATCTAAGAAGATTAATGATCGGGGAATGAGAATAAGCGGGATTGGTATAAATTCGAACGAATCTTTTTCCTTAAATTATATAAGTATATATCCACAATTCTATAAAGATTTTACATCAAGGATGATAGTTATCCTTGAAGTAAAATCCGAACAAAATTGAACTCGAGAGTGACAGATAGCTATCGGTAGAATCTACAGATTGGTTGATAGGTAAAGCAGACTGAAGGGGGAGGAAAAAGGGTGAATGAAAAAAAGGAAAAAAAAAAAGGAAAAGAAAAAGAAAAAAGTAGTAAAGAGTGGCGAATGATTAGGTACACGGACGAACGATCAAACGACGAGCAACCGAGAGAGAAAGAAAATAGCCAACGATTTTCTACGGGGGTGATTTATCGATCGTCGATAGTCTACGGTTTAAAGTAGGAAGAGGAAGAGAAATATAGGAATAGGAATATAGAAAGAAAACAATATATAATAATATATATAAAAATAAGAATAGGAAGAAAAAGTAAGATAAAAAAATGGTGTAATCCGAGAACGTTTACGAGACGAAAGTATTAGGATTACTGTTGAGAATGGTGTACGTGTTGTCTTATATCCGAAGAAAAATGTTTCTTTTTTCCCTTAAGGGGTCTATGATACTCCGAGGAATTCTTATTCTTTGAAGAAAAATGTCCGAAGACACATACTGGCCCAACGAACCGAATGAACCAATGAAATGTTCTGGGTATTCCATATTTTTTCCTTTTGTTCGATCATTCGTCGCGTGGGCGTTCATATATTATTTAAAAGGGACAACCTTTTTCTGTTACTCGTAAATCTTACTTCCGTGAAACTCGTACAACTTCATTGACCTCTTCTTCTTCTTCTTCTTCTTCTTGTTTTACTTTTACATTCATATTGGATGAAAATCTATCTCTTATGTATCCACGTATATGAATATTTAAAATTATTAAACATTTTTAATAAAATTAAAAAAAAATAAAATAAAATACAAAATATATAAAAGATGATACTCGTATTACTTAAGTTCACTTTTTGTTTTTATCTTCTTCTAAATTTTCTATATCTCTATATTTGAGATTAGGGTTGAGGGTGGGATTGGAACTTTTTAGCCAATAGTAGTGTACACGTATATACTATTTATATCTAGTAATATAGTACAATAGTTAGATAAAGGAATAAACGTATAAATGTTATATAGTTACTAAGTAAACGTTCAATTTGGAGGGTAGTTTTATCTTCTTTATCATTGTAAAATCACCGAGGGAATGTCAAGGAGGAATAAGCGACAAAAAAAAAAAAAAAAAAAAGAAAAACAACATCTGGACGCGGAAAAGTTTTCTTTGGCGCACACGATCCGCGTATTCGTTTTCTAAGTCGACTTTGAAGTCCTGCACGCGTTGGCAATAAATTTTCTTCTTTTACTCTCGGGGGCCCATGAAATAACCGTCTGCTGCCGGCTTTTTAATCAGACTTCGCGAGTGTTCCTATTTTTTTCTCTTTCTTTCTTTCTTTCTTTCTTTCTTTCTTTCTTTCTCTTTTTACCTCGTCGAAAAACTTGTCCCAGATACGACGAGAGATGCTTTGAACCGACACGAAATATATACTAATAGTAGTAGTTAGTAGTAGTACTTTTATGAAAAGAGGAAAACTCACACGAGTATTATTATCATGGAAATAAGCTATTTATCGATTTGCCAATTTTTCTTTTCTTTTCTTTTCTTTTTTTTTTGCTAATCAACGATCATTTTTTCTTTTTTCTTTTTGGATTTATCATCAAGTTCTATCGTTAACAATTTAATTGTAAATGACGAGTATTATATTCAAACGACGAGTCACAGAGAGAGTTAAGTGATTAAAATTATTGTAATAGTTAATAAGAATACATTCAGATTTCTAACTTGATAAACTCAACTCTGATTAAATGACAAAAATGATATACTTTTAAATATTAATTCTCGTTGATGAATCTCCTTCAACAAAATAAATCACTTGCCAATCAAAAATTCATAACGTTTAACGATTGTAAATTTGTACACGTTTGTAAAAAGTCACGATTTTCGGATTCTAATTGAATTATTTAACTTGATCCCGTAAAGTGTATCTATCAAAATTGTACGATACACCTAGAGAGGTAAGGGGGAAACATTTATTATTATTATTATTATGATTATTAAATTATTTACCAAGTATATAATCCAAAAGGATCTTTAAAACTTTGAACACTTCTTCTTGACACCCTGTATAAGCTGAGAATATCGTTCTAGGCGGTGGCTCTAACCTTTGCTCAGGTTGGGGAGGGGGTGGATAGGTGGGGTGTAGTTAAACTCGCATACTCCGAATTTGCGCCATGCTGCGATGCGACGAGGGTGTGGATACGGTCGATGAAACTGGATAAGGGTTAGAGGGAAGAAGGGTGAAGTTGAAATTAGGCTTCCCACGAGAACAACTCTAACTATCGTTAAGGACAATGCTTCTTCTTCTTCATTTTCTTCTTCTTGATATTTTTTTTTTTATCGAAAGTTAAAGAAACAATTTGACCGATATCACAAATCCACAGATCACATGATTAACATCTAAAGTTTTTCTTATAAAATTAATTATCATGAATTTTTTAAATTTTCTTTTTTTTTTTTTTTTTGATAAGAATAAGCAAAGAGAATATTTTTGAATAATTCATCGAACACGAAGAATTAGTCTCAATTGTTAAATCTTACGAAATATATTATTCGTTATTGTAAAATAAGTGTTTTTCCGAGAGATTACGTTCGATAAAATGAATTAATAAAATAAATGAAAACGAATATTTTTAATGGTATAGTATTCGAATGAAATAAATTAACAAGTCGAATCGAGAAAAAAAAAACAAAAATTGTTATCACGTTAACGAGCATTGTGTAAATCATTTATTTGTATGGAATAATTTGAGGAATGATGTAAAAATTGTGCAAAGGGTTAACTGAAAGTTCACCCCGTATATATAATAATGATACTTTCTTCTGAGATTTCTACGAAAGTTATCCGAGTAGTCGGTTCCTCGTTAAGGACAGAGTTAACCAAAAGAGGGCGATCAAACGATAACGAAGCTAATTTAGTCGTTCTTATAGTGAAACTGAAAGATTAACAGAGAAAGAGATTATGGTACAATACTGTATTTTAGAATATATATATATATATATATATATATATATATATATATAACTATATTCTAGATGTTAAAGGTACATTTTTGTCCTCGTTCGGTGTCGTTTGTATTCAACGAGACTCTTACTCCTCCTTGTCCTCTCTCTCATTCGAGTATTTTTAGCATGCTTAAAGTGCAACCATACTCGTGCTTCGTAATCTCATGATTTCGTTGTATTTTCCAAATATTACAAAAGTGATTTAATATTCTGTTACGATACTCGTGATATCATCATCATTGTCATCAGTTGTTGTTTGATCATTCAAAATGTTAGATGGATAAACGTATTGTGATTTAGAATCCCGTATTAAGTTATGCAACAGATCAAATTCACGTAGTAATTGTTTATTGAACGAATTAGGAATTTCCTTTTTTTTTTCTCTAATGTTATTTTTACGTAAGTAAGTTTTCACGAATCAGTCAACCGTTTTCTTTTGTAATATTATTTTTATGAGCATCTCCTTTTTTATGGCAAAATATCCTTGAAGCACTTTTCTAACTTTCACCAGCACCCTAAACAAATCCCTTGTGTTTCTTCAGTTTTCTTTTTTCTTTTTTTTTCTTTTGGAAACACACATTTGGTGTTTCTCTATATAAGGTACTCCTGAGAACATTACAAAAAATGATCTATTATTTTTATAAATCTTGAAAAATATATCTAAGTTATCGAATTATTTTACTTTACCTTGAAAATGAACCCATGCGTTGTATCCTATTGATATTTGGTGAACCCAACTTGGCACTTAAAAGTGATTAAATATTTAATAACTGTGTGTGATTAAAAAATCAATTTGTTATTCTTTACTTTTATTTGTTCTTGTTGTTTTTTGTTTGTTTGTTTGTTTAATTATCGTAGATCCCGCGATAAAGGCGCACGTGCGTCGACTCCTGTCACCCGGGGATGCAACCCTCGAGGAGAATGCAAGCGAAATTGGGAAAACAACTCGGGAAGAAAGTTCAATCGCGTTAAACTCTAGAGACGTTAAATCGTCGTCGAGTAGTGGTTGTGAAAACGAGGAATCGAGAAAATCTGGCTCACCGGTGTTAGCCGTAAATTCACCCCAAAATCCTCAAGGTGGTGGGGCCACGCAGTATTCCACCAGAAGCAATGGTTCCTATAGCGATCCTTCGAGTTCCTCAGATTTGGAAGCCCTTTTACCACCAATGGATAGCTTCAAGGAAGAAGAACGTGCTCAGTGGGAGCCACTTTCTGGTGAAAAGTTTGGTCGTCAAAAGAACACGCCTAGGTAAGTCCTTAATCTAATCTAGAATATATTTTATACGGGGCTTTCTCGTGTTATAAAAGAATACATTTCGATGGGACACCTTTTTTTTTTTTAACAATTTAAAGTACAGTTAAAGTATAGTTTGATTTTTTCTTTTTTAAATGACTAATCCCAGATTTTCGAAAAATTATTGTGATTTATTTTGGACCTATGTTTATATTCATGGATTATTTATATAATATAATTCATTAAGGATTAACGGGATTAAATTGAAAAAAGTATTTACACCGAATTATTTCGGTTATTATCAAAAGCAACTTGTCTTTTTTTTTTTTTTCGTTTGGACAGTAGAGGAAAGTATATTGTTCTCCTGCGTTAATTGTTCCAAAAGTTATGAAAGGTTCTCAGATGAGCTTTTCTCTTTTTCCAATGATTATTCAGGGAAAACTCTCGATGAACTTGGCGAGAAACTTCGCGACACATTTAGGATTCATAAAATGTGTTTTAGCATAAAATAGTAAGTTTATCGCATTGAAAAGTTTTACCCGACGACGACGGCGACAACGACGACAGGCGACGGATATCAGAAAGTTTAAGACCGGCGTCGAGGTTTGGTCGTTAACGGGTTGGAAAATATATTCGTGTACAGCTTTTTATGTATTTAAAAAATATAGAATGATAACGTAGATCGATTGTGATTTGTCGTTCAGGTTCGAAGCTTATATGATGACCGGCGATCTCATGCTGAACCTGTCGCGAACGCAGCAAAGCAGCGGTTTCCTGCCGAAGTATCAGAAGAAGGTCGACTCGCTTAGGTACAACAATCATCACTCCCACCATCACCATAATCATCACAATCACCACCATCATAAGTCGGTACCTACCAGTCCTAACGAGATGCTGGGCCATCACCGTGCTTACAAGTGCACTGGCTCGAACTCGGCCAGCACTTCGCCGGTCGGGATCAGCAAACGCGAGGGCGGCCAATGCCCGAGCCAGGGCGACTCTAGCAAGCCCAATGCCGCCGCGAGCAGTTTCGGTTATTCGAGCGGCTTCGTACGTACCTCGCGCTCCGAGGATCACTTGCAATTCCAAAAGGACCCTTCGATGAGCGCGGTGGACATAGACATTGACGATGACGTCACGTCCAGCCTAAATACCCTGTTGGACACGCGGCCGGACAGCGGCCAGGGCCTGTCCAGCGAGAGAATCGTCTGGACGTACAACGCGCCGGTTAGCTCGTCCTCTGCCTCGGAGCGCACCTCCTGTTGCCAAAACGGCAGCTCCTCTCAATCCTCATCCTCGCCCTCGAGTTCCTCGAGCTCCTCCTCGACGGAGGGTACGAGCCCTCAGCGTTCCTTATCACCTGCCTCCCCGACCTCAGTCTCGTCCTCCGTCATGTCCTCCAATTCTGGATCCCGTAGGTTCCCACCACCGGTACCGACTGCTCCGCCGGCCCTGGTGGGACCCTCGGGCGACGGGACCACCTCCTCGACCTCCGGCCTACATCCCACCAACGGCGACCTCAGCCAGTCGGAGGCCATCAGCAACATGTCCAGTCCGGACTACAACGACGAGGAGACCATGGATATTCTCAGTGTGCGCGACATTATGATGGTCAGTGATCCCAGTGACAGTGACTCGACGATACTCGCGAGCGAGCCACCTCAGAGGAGACTCAAGCAGAGCTCGGCATCGAATGCTAACGCTGCTACGCCTTCTTACGCTCAACAACAACAACAACAACAACAACAGCAACAGCAGGACCCTTCGGCTGAACATAGGATAGTAATACAAGTTAAGGGACCGGACAAGGATTCTTCTTCGAGAAACTCTAGTCCAAGACAGACAAGGAGAAGGACGATTCCTTCTGGGGGTGGTGTTGGTGTTGGTGGTGGTGGTAACGCTTCCTCCATTGATCTCTTACCACCGAACATTTCTACGGTACAAAATGCTGCCCAACGATCCTCCCCTTCGACTCTTACCTCTGGTAACGTTACTCCAGAGTTTGTTGGTTATCAGGTAGGTTGCCAATCCTTTGAAATACGATCTCATTGATCATTATTATCTCTAATCAATCAAATTTCATCTGACTGATCTTTTTCTAGGAGCTCAAGGAAAGCGAGGATGAAAGGGAAGCTTACAGTACTGGATTCTACGACGATCAAAAACATAGCAGTGCTTCCCCACCTCAATCGGCCGACGAGGAAAGCGATATCGAGAGTCTCCATAGCTTCCATTACAGTCCAAAAGCGGTTGATCTACCGTCTGCCGTTCGACTAGCTAAAAGGCTATTTTCTTTAGATGGCTTTAAGAAATCCGATGTCTCCAGACATCTTAGTAAAAAGTATGGTTCATTTTACTTCTTTTTTCGCGTTTTTACTTGTCAGTTGAAAAGACGAAATGGGAATATGTGTGTTTATATGTATATACATTAACGAAAAACCTTCTTCATTTATAGCAACGACTTCAGTAAAGCGGTAGCCGAGGAGTACTTGAAATATTTCAACTTTGAACGAGACACGCTGGACGTGGCTCTAAGAAAGTTCCTTGTGCAGTTCTCTTTAACGGGAGAGACCCAAGAAAGGGAGCGAGTTCTTGTACATTTCTCTAAGAGGTATCTTGATTGTAATCCCGGCACGTTTCGCTCTCAAGGTACGTAAGTACATTAAAACAACTACAACAACAAAAAATCGATCATCGATCATTCATTCATTCATTCATTCATTCATTCATTCATTCGTTTCATGATTTTCAATTGTACACATATATTTGAATATTTTTCAGATGCTGTTCACACTTTAACTTGTGCTATTATGTTGCTAAATACCGATCTTCATGGGCAGAATATCGGTAGAAAAATGTCGTGCTCGGAGTTTATAGAAAATTTATCAGAACTCAACGACGGTGATAATTTCCCTAGGGAGGTGCTAAAGCAACTTTACAATGCTATCAAATCTTATCCCTTGGATTGGGCTTTGTAAGTTTAACTTCAACGAGTATCATTAATTAATACTTCGATTAATATGTTTATTTGTTAATTGTTTTTATTAATATAGAATTATAATTTTATTTTATTTCTTCAAGGGATGATGAGGGTGACGAAACGGCGGCTCAGGTGATTCAACAGGGTGATGGACCAGCGATAGCTGGTACTGGAAATCCATTTCTCGATGTGCCAAATGTTACAGGTGCTACGGAGTTCAAGAAGGGTTACGTTATGCGCAAATGTTGTTACGATTCAAACGGGAAAAAAAGTTTGTTATACCATTTCTATTTTATAATACGATACAATACTCTTTTCAAGTTTATTGTTGTAACTCATGGTTTTTCTTTTTTTTTTTTTTTTTTTTTTTCCTAAACAAAATATTTTCAGCTCCCTTCGGAAAGAGAGGTTGGAAGATGTATTATTGTACATTGAGAGAGCTTGTATTATATTTACATAAAGACGAGCATGGCTTCCGTAACGATAGTTTACACAATGCGATACGTATTCATCATGCATTAGCTACAAAAGCATCGGATTACACGAAGAAACAACACGTTTTCAGGCTACAAACTGCCGATCAAGCGGAATATCTTTTCCAAACGAGGTATTATATTCATTAACGATCATTCAAATGCAAATCTTTTCATTTGGTAATAATTGTTTGTTCTTTTCTCACAAAGAAGAACACGTAGGACACCTGGGATTGTAAATTAAAGGGGGGCAGGGCTAGAGTTTTTATAATTTCTCTTCTACAAATCAATGCTTCTAACATCTTGCGAGAACTAATAAAACAGAAAAAATATATTGTTTTTATTAATAATAATATTGAATATGATTTAAAAGAATTTCTTTCTTTTTGTGTATTTCCAGCGATTCCAAAGAACTTCAATCGTGGATCGACACGATTAATTTTGTATGCGCCAGTTTCTCTTGCCAGCCTCTCGCAGGAGCCGTCGGTTCTCAACGAAAATTTCAGCGGCCTCTGTTACCATGCAGTCACACCAAATTATCTCCTGTGAGTAGTAATAAACATAAAAAAAAAAAAAACTATATTGACTTGAAAAAAGAAGATTTGTTTAAAAAAGAAAAAAAAAACAAATTGGTTTTATATGATTTTTAATCAGATCTCTCCGCAGCGTTAATTTCTCAACGAGGAATATAATCTATTTTTATTCTTTCTTTATTTACAAGCCTTCCACCACTAATCTCGAAGCAAGCTTCGTTCTCTAAGTTTGTATCTTTACAAGTAGTACACTCATACGGTTTTTGCGAGAAGAACGATTTATTTGATTTCTTTGAAACCAACAGCCGTATTATTCTGGTGTTATTAAATAATCATCGAACGCATTATACATTCTAAAGAAAACCCTGCACGATTAACTGTCGAAATTGTTGAATATCGTTTCGTCATTGCTTTGCAAAAAAATTTTTATCGACGCTTCTTCGGATTGTTTGTTATGTTACCAGAGAGAACAGTTACGGGACCACGAGGACAGAGTTAACAGACTGGAAGCCGAATTGGACGAACATAAACGACATCCTCAGGAAAAAGGAGCTAAAGCTTTAGCCGTACAAAATTATAAAGAGAAGGGTGCATACTTGTATCACGAGGTACAATGATTTATTATTGGGATCAAGTTATGTTGAAATCTATCATCATACCTTTGAAATAGAAAGAACCAAATTTATTAAAGACGATACGGATCTTATTATTTCGTAACAAAATATAGAATAATTCTTACATTGTACGATTATTTTAATTTTTAAGTCGCGCGTAATACAATTAAAGAAAAATTCTATAATATAATTCAATAATCTCAAGGGTCAATAGCTTTTTGCATAACTTCATTAAATTCAAACGAAACGTCATATTCTTTTTAATTTTGCGAATGATCATATCATCATTTTTGTATATCTGTTTGTTAATACAGTTAAAAAGGTATAAGACGTATGCCTACTTGTTACGTTCAAGACTGGCATTCACAGAAGTTGAACCATCTCTGGTAGAAAGCAGTATTGGTGAAGTGGATGAAGGAAGTGGCGCTTTGTTGAATGCTGACGTAGCGTTAGTACCTCCTCCAGTTCCTGATCGACCAGCCATAAATAGGTACAGTTACAGGGCTGCCATTTACAACCGTAATCTTCTAAATGGTCAGGACTACTGCGGGGATATTGGTTGACGTGTGATGGGTGTATTTTCAGCATGTGTGGTCTAATCCGTGCTGCTCCTACAAATATTGCGCAGCTATACGGAAATATTAGCTCCAATTTCTAAGAGATATTAACCGAAACTAACGATGTACTCGATTCCATCACTTGTTAAGTACTGTATCTTATTGTACTTTGTACTCACACACATACACTATTTCTTTTAATACATATAACCCCCATCATTCTAAACAGCAGGCGATCATTAATACGGTAGTTGTAATATATTCGTACGACATTATAATAATCAATCGATGCAGCAGATTTCTTATACATTGTTATTCAAAATTCAATTATATGCATTATATCATTTCGATAATTTTTGTAATTATCTCGATGGAGATAATATTAACGTTAACAAAATTTATCATTTATGGTTATCATTTGAAGAGAGACATTTTGTTGGAAAATATTTGTTTTTCAATTCGATTGATCTATATCAAAATCACGATATGAAAAATAATTTCTATTTCGAAACATGTATTTTAACGAGATCTTGATTTTATTGATTAACACGATGTTTTTAAATGTCAAGAAAACTGCTGTTTTATATTCGCCTGTACACTTAAAAAAAAAAAAAAAAATACAAACAAACAAACAAACAAACATTAAACTCGCATTAAATGAATGTTCGGTGGTGATTGGTGGTAATGGTAATAGACTAACTCGGCATTAGTGTAAATTACTCGCTAATAACTATAACTCATAGGATCACACACACACATTATGAGATTAAATATCTAGAAAAGGCTCGATTCAAAATTTCGTGCCTTTGGGAGAAGAAAGATATAAAACAAGAAGAGTGTGTGTAGAGTGGTAACGATGGTAAAATACACATAACTTACATGCATACACATACACGGGACACATGCACACATACACACGCAATTAGAAAATGATCGACATCAGTCATCTGCATGTTAGGAAATAATTATAATAACGTTTCATTCAAAACGAATTCTTATAAAATAACAATAAAAGGACATTGTCCTCTTGTTGTTAGATCTATAGTGAAACTAAAAGAAAACCAAAGTCTTAAATGCAAAAAGGAAGTTGTCATATATATACATATAAATGCATATATATGCGAACGAGATATATAATCATGTTTTAGCCTCTCGACAAGTATAGATGCATTCGATTAATATTCGGTTAAAAAACATTACACAGTATTCGAAAGTATTTACCATCTAAATACGTGTAATTGTTTTCGTTATCAGATAAAACAATATTTATCTCGTTACGGAAACGTCTAACAATTTTTTTTTTCGTTTCTTATTACTGCTCTTAAACAATTTTCGTTCATCTTTTTTCTTTCTTTTTCTTCTTCTTTTTTCTTTTCTTTCCTTTTTTAAACTAACATTTCATAAAACTGCTCATTGGCTTATTTTACAATTACATTCTAATGACGTGAACAATGTAATATCGCTTTTTTCGTACTTTAAAAAAAAAAAACAAAATGAAGAAAGAAAAGAAGTATACCAAATAACTATGTGTCTATCTTTTGCAAATGGATACGCTATATATTATTATTATTATTATTATTATTATTACTATTATTATTACTATATAGAAGATAAGTTGCTTTTGCACGAAGCGACGATTTATTGCAACTTTCAATGTCTTATCATTTAATCTTTTTCTCGTCATACATACAAAATAGCGCATTTTTATCCAATAATATTTTTCTCCTATAGAGATAAGATCTTTACAGATCATAGGTGTTTAACGAATATAATTATAAGTATTATATATATATTTTCTTTTTTTTAGTTTGCAATTTTGGGTTTGTAGTTAAAGAGGAATTATCAAATTTATTGAAAAGTTTTGGATGAAGAGAAATTCAAGAAAATCATTCAAAAATTTGTTCTTTTTTTTTTTTCTATTATTGTAATTTTTTTTTCTTTGTTTTTCCCTCGTGTAACCGCACACATAGTTATATTTTTAACAACAACAACAACAACAAAAACAAACAAACTATG